TTGGCTTCCCTGACACCTCCCCCTCGTCCAGCTACTAACCTCCCAGAGCCCCCTCCAGACCTGTGACACCCTCAACTAAGCGGGGGCGGCTGAGCCACTCGCCTATGGCTCACAATTAAGGGGGTGCTAAAAAAGCGCAGTAACCTTGATAAAAATTTAACACAATATTTAAAGAAAATCAGATCAGCAAACTATGGTCCCTGGGACAGTTACCTGGTTTCATGAATAGAATTTCACTGGAACCAGGGTGGGAATTTCTGTGAAGAGAGTGAGCCAGGGAGCACTAGCGCTGGCTCAGACCTGTTCTTTATTTACAATTTCGATATTCTGTTCATTGTGCATTTTTTACATTAATTTGATTTTGTAAAATGTTGCATTAAAATATTATTTATCTTGATTACTAGAACTTCCCTTAAATTTTGCACCCAGGTGATTGTTTCACTTTGCTCACCCTGGTCCCCGCCCTGCCCCAAACACCCATGTTTCCCAACCCCTGGTCCAGGAAGCACTGGGAGTCCTATAACACTTAGCAAATAGGAATGGTGTCCCTATCAGTGCCATTTGAGGTTCGGGAAACAAGTTGGGGGAGGTATGGGTCTCTTGTCTCACACACCTGTGCAGGAGGGTCCTAAGCCTCAGAGAATCTTCAGGCTACAGGGGAGGTCGAGTGGAGACAGAGGAGAGAGAGGTGGAGCTTTTGCTCCTCCTAGATGCTGTGGCACAGGGACTCGGCTTCCGGAGGGAGAGAGGTGATGGCCAAGGAGGGGATGGAAAGAGGGAAGCAGCCAGGCTTGGGCCACTCACACCAGCCTGGCCTGACCCAGGAGGGGATCTGAGTGGTTCCCACCCTCCAACCTCTGGAGGGGTTCCTTCAGTGCTTGGGTCCACCTTTGTTAAGCACTTGCTGTGTGTCAGGCATGTGTTAAGAATTGGAGACATAGAGATGAAATAGCCAGGGGCCCCCTAAGCCTGAGAGGGTGGCAGGAGGAACACAGGCAGAGGGTGGTACTGTAGCAGACAGCAGGGGAACTCTCTGCTCTGGTTTAGGGAGAGTTTGAGACTTCCTGGAACACAGCACATCTTAGCTGAATGTTAGGAAATGAGTAGGGCAAAGACAAGTAAGGGGGTGGGTATGAAGAGTGCTTCAGGTAGGGGGACAGCATGAGCAGAGGCCAGGAGGTGACATGCTTTGGAGGTAGCACGGAGTGGGGTGAGAGTGGGGTGAGTGTGGGTCAGTGATGAAGCCCATGACAGCTGCTGGAGACAGGTGTTCATTCATGGCAGGGAGCTGGGGGTGTGGCCCCTCAGCCAACTGCGTGGACCCTCTCTTGGCCAAGGGGACTCCAGAAAAACCTTAAAGCTGAGTTGCTGGCCATGTCTGACGGGAAGGTCAGACAGGCCTACTTGTGTCCCTGTCCCTTTTGGAGTTACTCTTTGTAACAATAAGATACTAAACCATTAACAGGCCTGAGGCCACGCAAGACAAAAGTTAAACCACACCTGCAGGCCATCAATTTACTTGACAGGTGGCTGAATCTTGGTGTATGTCCAGTGGCTGGTCTCTGGTTAACAGACTTCCTTATCTTCACTTAAAATGTTCCAAGCCTTTAGACAAAGCTTCATTTCTTTAGCCAATTGCAAATCAAAGAATCTTTAAACCCACCTGTAACCTGTAAACCCCTGCTGTGAGATGTCCTGCCTTTTCAGACCAAACGCATATACGCCCTCCAGGTATTGATTTATGATTTTATGTGTAATTCCTGTCTCCCTAAAATGTATAAAACCAAACTGTAACCCAACCACGGTGGTACCATTTTCTCAAGGCTTCTTGAGTGTGGCTCTCTGGACCATGGTCACACATATTTTGGCTAGAATAAACCTCTTTAAGTTATTTTACAGAGTTTGGGTTCTTTTCCATTGACAGGTTGTTATGAGGATTAAATGAGTTTATATTTGTTAGGGACATTCCATTTGAACAGTGGCTGGCACATAGTGAGCGCTATGTCAATGTGTTAAATGAAAGCAAAATTACTTATATAGTCAGAAATTGCAAGGTGACTTCATTAATTTTTAAATTATGCAATCCTTTTGCTGTATGGGGAAATGAGAAAAGAAAGACAGACAGACAGAAAGAAAGAAAGAAAGAAAGAAAGAAAGAAAGAAAGAAAGAAAGAAAGAGAGAAAATCACCCAAGTAAGACATTAATACAATCTTTTAATAAAATAACAGAAACTTTAAAAAATCCTAATAATCCTTGGAGACAGATTTGTGTACAGCCTGTTCCGATTAATATTAAAAAACACTTCGCTGAGTGCTAAAGCAGGAGGACGGGAGAGGTGAGTGGGTGGTATTCGAGGGAGTGGGAGAAGAGGAAGTCAGATTTCACTGATGTGGATTATCCAGGTGCACTGGCTGACCCTACCACCTCCGCAGGTCCCCTCTGACAACTGAAAATAAATGACTGAGGCAAAGATCCCAATCAATGGAGGTTCATTCAGCCGAAGTCTGAGGACATGCCTGGGAAAAGTACAAGCCACAGAGGCATCTGTGGCCTGTGCTCTCCAAAGAGGGGTCTGGGGAAAGAAAATGGAGGAGAGGGTTGGGCAGTGAGGCAACTGGTCACAATCTCATGAGACTTTGGTTAATGCCCAGGAAATCTACATTTTACATCAGGGGAATGTCTGAAGTGAAAAAGGAAGTAAAGGAAGACTCAATCATGTAGATGTTCCTGCGGAGGTGGAAGAATGATTGATCTTGTTTCCGTTCTGCACCTGGGAAGATAAACGGGTAATCAACAGTAGCAGTGTGGAGTTGAACAGACTTTAGTTTTAGGCGCTAGACTCGGCTGGCAGACCTAAAGTTACGATTTCCATGTCCTTGTTTAGGGGAAGCTAGCAAGGAATCTGCTCCCAAATGAAGCAGGGGCCGTCTATAAGGATGCCTGAGGACTTATACCTTTCCAGAAGGATCTGGCTAATGCATAATGTTAGTAACAGCTATTCATTGGAAAGAGTGTTGCATGACTCAGCCTCCAGGCTTGACCTTCCCTTTTATATAAGGAGCTGGGGGGTAGGTCTTGAGGTTTTTATTTTCCTTTATACGTCTATGATATTTGCCCCCAGGAAGTGCACGCTGCACTGTAACCGCCATGACCGCTGAGCCATGACTGCAGATCCTGACATTTGGGTTTGCTCCCTGCCCTTGCAGAAAGGCAGGCCTGCCTGCCGTTTGGCTTTTGGGAATTCTAATAAAAGAGTTTGAGGAGCCCCCAGGACGACCACCGTGGACCCCTAGGGGCCCAGGACCCCTAAACAAGGAACAGCTGTTTAAGAGAGCAGATAATACCCCTGGGTGTTGGGATTCAGCCCCACAGACCATCCTGCAACTGAGTATCTTTCAAAGTCAAGAGGACTTGGCAAGGTAGCCCCCCTTGTTCTCAGCTCCCGGTGGGAGAATTGCACAGCCCCTACTGTCTGCTTGGGTCACACTTTCACTGCCTCAGCATTTCCAGACCTGAGTCCTCCTCTACACAACTGGCAGCCATTTGAGCCAGGAAGAATGAAGATTGGAGGGTAGGGAGGCAAGATTTAGGCATGCTGGTGTGAAAGGTCTCTCAATGTGGGAGGGCGGTCTCTATCTCATTCCTTCTCCATGGGGACGGCAGCAAAGCACAAGGCGGCAACCAAGTCTTGCTCAGAGGAGACAAAGGGTACGCCCCACCCAGCCCCGCCAGACCTTCAGAGCACACCCCCTCACTGTGCTCCTCCTGTGCCATCTCTCCTGGAAGGAGAGACTCAGGTCACTAATTTCTCTGGGAACAGGTCAGGCGGGGATGGAATTCAGGAACACCCCTGTGGGGCACCGTGTGGCCTCGTTCTGGAATGTGTTGCCCTAGGAATGTTTCCTCCTGTGACTCGTGTCATTTCCTCTTCAGAGCCAATCATTAACCATACCGAGAGCCCTGGAAGAGTGGCTGGTTGAGGCTGGAAAGGCAGAGGTGGCTCCATCCTGGGCTGGAACCCTCAGCTTCCCCAGAGGGGCTGAGTCCCCAGTCGTGGCCCTGCCAGGGTCCCCAGGCAGTGGCCTGGCCTGGATCCAGCCTCTCTGGTAGAGGCTTCCACACACCCCGCCGGGCAGGGCAGATGGCAGACCCCTGGAGGTGGGCAAAGCCCCTCTGGGCACAGGCAGCGCTACCCTCTGGGAGCTGAGTGGGTCCCCGGCGGCTGGGGGAGGGGGAGCTTTCAGCAGGGATAAGGAGGCTGGAGGGTGGTTTAAGGTTTACCCCCCCATAGCATCCACACCCCCTCCAGGCTATAAAACACCAGTGGTGTGAGAAGCTCTGCTTCTGGGCAGTAGGGACCAGCCCGCACCCCTGTCTGGACCTGGGTCCTCAGCCTATCACTTCTGAGATAGGCCTGGGTTCCTCCAGTTTAGCCTCCCAGCTCCCAGGGAAGCCCCAAATTCAGATGGACCCCCACCCCCGACCCAGTCCTTCAGATACCACCTCTCCTGTCTGGCCACCTGCTCAAGCTTTGACCCCTCTCAGGCGACAGGGCCTTTGGGGACAGGCAGGCCCCTGGTGCCTGTCTGGACCAGCCTGGAGAATCAAGGCCAGGGGCCTCTTGTGGCGGGGGTGGGGTGGGGTGGGGTGGGGTGCATGCTGTGCACCCCATCAGGAATCCCCCTGGGGGGGTGCAGGGGCAACATACGTAACCTAAACATCTGTATCCCCATAATATGATGAAATTAAAAAAAAAAAAAAGTATAAGATTTAAAGAAAAAATAGGAATCCCTCTCGGAAGGCTGCAGGACGTCGGGCCGGCCTGGCTGAGCGCTGTCCTGTGGCTGTGGCGTCGGCCCGTTTGGGGGATTCTCTGGACCGGCCAGCAGGCGCCGTGGGTGGAGTCCAGGCAGCCGGCCTGCAGGCAGGTGGGCACCCGCCCCTCCGCCCTGGCGACCCCGCAGGGCCGGCGACCCTCCGCGCGCCCCTGGCCAGCCAGTGCTTCGAGTCCAGCTTTATTGGCAGCCGCCCTGAGCCCGCCCAGCCGCCGCCTACGCCTCCGGGCGCTGCTTGAGCGTGACCGAGGCGCCGCTGCTGACCATGACCGCCGGGTACAGCGGCTCCAGGAAGGGGGCGAGGAAGCGGTAGATGAGGCTGGCGCCGCCCGTGAGGCCGTAGAAGGACAGGCAGCCGGTGGCGCAGTCGAGCGCCACGCCCAGCGTGCGGTGGTAGGCGCCGTGCAGCACCGTCTGCGTGTTGTTGTGCCACACCGAGAACTTGAGCGAGTCCCACTCCAGGCACCACGAGTGGGGGTTGCGGCCCAGCAGGTAGATGATGTTGCGGCGCGCGGGGCCGTTGAGCGGCTGGCTGCGGCGGTAGGTGACGCCCAGGCACACCCACGAGTTGGACACCTCGGCCTCCCAGTAGTGGCGGCCCTCCGACAGGCTGCGCGAGCACAGCACCTGCGGCCACTGCTTGAAGCCCGGCAGGGGCCCGCCCGCGCTGGACGGCTCCAGGAGGATGCCCAGGTTCAGCACGGAGTAGGTCTCCTTGAACACGAACAGCTCCTCGTTGGCCGTGGAAGGGTCGAAGTTCAGGTTGCAGTAACCTGGGGGTGAGTGGTGGAGCCAGGGTCAGCGCCCCCCAGGGCACAGTGCCAGAGCCCTGGGGAGGGAGGAGCGCGCTGAGCTGCAATGCATTTGCATAGAAGTCACAGGATACTGCCACCCCAAGCTCCTAGGAGTGGCCCCTCTACCCACCCCCTTTAAGTCCCTCGACTGTCACCTGGTTGCAGCTGACATAGTCTGGAGGAAGGATGAGTTGGGTGCTGTCCAAAGTTCCACCTTGCCGGAGAGCTTGGGGACCAGGAGTGCCCCTCCCCCTACCACCAGATCTTAACATAATCCCCCTTTCTTTTTTTAAAAAATAATTATAAACTTTATTAGTTTTTACTTTTTAAAATTTATTTACTTTTTTTTTTTTTTGAGACAGAGTCTCACTTTGCTGCCCAGGCTAGAGTGAGTGCCGTGGCGTCAGCCTAGCTCACAGCAACTTCACTTCTAGATGCTTGTAAATAATCCCCTTTTTCATATATTTGTTCAGGACCCAAAGCTGAGTGGGACTGAGGGAGAGCCAAGGGTTCCTGGAGGAGGTCATTCGGGGGACGCCAAAGACAAGACAATCTTGACCCTCAGGATCTCAGAGAGGCCACTGGGGTTTGGCCCCATCGCAGCCTGGGAGAGGGGCTGCAAGGACTTCAAATCAGCAGGGAGACCGTGTGGAGGGAGAAATGGAAGAGGCCATGCACGCTGGCTTGGCTAAAGCTCAAGGGAGGTTGGCAGGCACCCAGCTGAGGGCAGAGGTTGTGCCACCCGAGAGCCAGGGAACGTGGCAGAGCTGGCCTCCTGGGGCGTGGGTGTGGCCTTCCCCACCCATGGGGGTAGGATGGGACAGGGTCTTCTCCCCTTCCTACCAGGGTCCTGGGGCCAGGCTGAATCCTTCTGAGGTCCCTAGTCCTGAGTTGGAGGTTGGGGCGAGAGAGACCTGGCATGTCTCTGGAGCCCCTGGCCTGAATGGAGGTGGGGCTGGGGAAGTCGAGGCACCCAGGGGCCCTGCACCTTTCCTTCCCACCCCCGAGGCCAGACCCCAGAACCGAGGACTCACACTTGAGGAGTGTTTTCCGGTCCACAGCTGGGGGCAGCACCTCATAGAAGCTCATCTTGATGCCTGGGGGGGATGGAGAGGCTGTGCTGAGGTCACTCGAGCAGCCTAGCATCTTCGGGAGAGAGGAGGCATGGGCATCCAGGAGGCTCTGACGCCTGGGGAAGGTGCACAGGGGCAGGCAGGGCTCTCCAAGGGCTTGCAGCCTCACCACTGCCCTGCAGGGCAGGCCCCCCTCCCCTCCGCCTCCAGGAATGCAGGCCCCAGGCCTCCAGGGACTGACCCTTCAGAAGGAGCTGGTTGATGAAGCCGAGACCCATGTCCACCAGCTGGGTCCGGAGCTTGGCCAGGGTCTCTGGCAGCTGGAGGAAGCTCTGTGTTTCCTCACAGTGGATGCCCATCAGGGGTTCCATGCAGGCTGGGAATTGCTTCAGCTTGTGGAACTCCTGGCATGCAGGCAGTGGCCATGGGACCATGTGTTAGCCAGGGCCCAGAGGTCCCCAGAGCCAAGAGCAGGTGGAGTAGAAGTGTCCCTTTCAAACCTGGGCCTCTCCCGTCCCTTTTTCCAGCTATTTGGACATCCTAGGTTAGGGCTCTGCCAAAGGCACGGCCACTTTGGCCTAGTCAGTGCATTGAGCAAAGTGGATTTTTAGAAAATGATGGGAGGATTTTGGCTGAGCCTTTAACTGCTCAGTGAGCACCAGTGCCAAAGCTTCCTGTTGCGTGGGGGTGAGAGGGGACAAGGTGGGCAATAGCCCTAGAAGTCAGCCCGGCATGTGGTGACAGCTTAGAAAGGAGATCTGTGCTAGGAGTCCCCAAGCCCCATGCACAGAGAAGGCTGCTGCCACCTTTCCATCCAAGGGCCACCCTGCCTGGTACCCCATTCCCCTGCCTGGTACCCGACTTCCCTGCCTGGTACCCCACTCCCCTTGCAGCAGCACCAGGCCTGGCTGTGGGGCCAGGCCCGGGCTGGGGAAGGAAAAGGGATTTTAATCCAGGCTATGTAGATTGTTCTGGTCTCCCTTCCGGCCATGATCTGGGGAGTCTGGAGAAACTTAGACTGTCAGAGGCCCAGAATCCCAGGGCACACCCCCATATGCTCCAGGGAAACGAAGGCAGGAGAGTTAGGGCAAGGCTGAGCTCTGAGCTGGAGGAGGAAGCCAAGGGTGTTGGTGTAAGCTCAGGATGGGTGACCCAGGACAGGGAGGCTCCCTGAGGCAGGGGGATGGACACAGTGATGCAGCCCCAAGCGCTGGTCACTTCTTCCCGAGCCCGGGCAGGTCTGGTGTGTTTGTGGGTGCAGGGAGGGTGGAGGATGTGATGGGGCCTGGGCCAGAGGCAGGGAGGGCTGGGGCCTCGCCTGCAGAAATTGCTGGTCGCTGCGGTGGCTGAGCAGGTTGTGGAGCCAGACGCTGTCCCCCTCCAGCTTCAGGAGCCGGTTGTGGCTCTGCTGGATGGAGCTGCCCAGCTTCTCCAGGGCGGCTGCCTCCTCTTTCTCCACAAAATCCAAGACCTTTATCTGCAGCTGTTTGATCTCTTTGCTCATCTCCAAGAAGCAGGTGTTCACCTCATCTCGAGCTGTCTGGATCAGTTTCTGGGGTGGGTGCATAGAGAGTTGTTTCTGAGCCCCACTCTGGTACCCCCATTGTCATGGCCCAGAGCCAGCCTCGCCATCCTGTCTCTGTCTGCCTGGCCCCACGCCCCACTCCAAGTCTGGAGAGGTCTCCTCGGCCCGATGCAGGGCACTGGGCAAGGGCTGGGAGGGGCAACCTTACCGAGAGAAAGGCCACCTGCCCCCGGTGCTTCTTGCTGTCCGAGGCGAGGATCAGCATCTGGTTCTCCACGTTGGCCTGGACCTTCCGAACCTCGGCCTGGGGTAAGGGGAGGGGTGGAGGATGAGGGGCCCCGATTCAGAGGGGTGGCTTCAGAGAAGCCCTTTTCCAAAGAGCCCCATGTCAGAACTCAGAAGAGACATGCCCCATGCATTCATCCGCTTGGCTTAAAAGAGAATGAGAGAGACAGACCGAGCTGAGGGGTGATGGCCCACGGCCCACCCTCTGCTCTGGGTCTCTCGCTCCCTGAGAGCCTATCTGCCCATGCGCAGAAATCTCCCCACTACAGGAATCCTGACAGTGGGACTCCAGGGTTTCAGGCCACAGGAAGGGGCTGTGGAGGGTGGAGTGGCTTGAGAGGCTCAGAGGCCATGGGGCAGGCGGGGGACAGCAGGTATGTGGCTGTCTGGGCTCAGCAGGGAAGTGCTGCCAGGCCCGAGGCCCACATAAGCCTTCAGTCACCACCAGTGGCCGCAACGGGCATTTTTATTGTTGTATCATACAGCAGTGCCATCCCAAGTGCCTGTCCGTGAACGGTCGCTGGTCGGTAACACGATAAGAAGCTCACGCCAGACTGCAAATCCAGTGCAGAGCTTCGTTCACCGAGAAGGTCTTGCGATGAGCAACCTGTCAGCTGAGCTAACCGAGGCGATAGTTGGCCTGCCTCCCAGCACGAGCTCCTTGGCTTGCCACGGACCACAGACGGTGGCCGTGCTAGAGTAGGACTGTCACAGAACATGCATGACGGGATATCTAAACTAGAAGGATCTCACTACAAAAACGACACAAGCTTCACTAGGGTCTTGATTGCTAAGAAATTAAAAAAAAAAAAAAGAAGAAAGAAAAAAACGACACAAGCATATTAAAGAAAACTTGGAAATAGGGAAACGGAGGGATTCGCCCAACTGAACGTGGTGTGTATTTTGCTAGGTTGACACGGGCTGCACACGTGCGGTTCTGGATCCTCACTCATTTAACTCGCCAGCACGTTCTCGCGTCACAAGCTGGCCCTGGTGACCCTCGCTCTCACAGCTGCATGATTTTCCTCCAGAGACAGGAGGAAGACTCGGAGACTGGAGAGAGTCCCCGCCTGTCCTCTGGTCTGGGCCTCACCTCCTTGCTGGCGCGCTCCTCCTCCAGCGGGGCGGTGTCGTGGTTCTTGTGCTCCTCCAGCAGGCAGGCCGCGCACACGCAGCAGCCCTCCGTGCGGCAGTACAGCTGCCGCAGCTTGTGGTGCTTCCGGCACAGGCGGGTCTTGAGATCCCACACGGGCTCCAGCAGCTGGTGGTCCTGGTACAGCTGGTCCTCCAAGTGGCTTCGTAGGTG